ATATCATAATCATAATTATACATAATATATCATAATCATAATTATATCATAATATGCGTGTGAACCACACCTAATTTTAATTATACTGTAAGATTATCTTCTTAGTTTTTAAGACAATTACTATAATTTTAGACTTTAAGATTTTTGAGAAAGAAATGAACAGATAGTTATAAATGTACTACAGCGGAGTGGAGTACTTAACTATATACTAGTTTATAATTATACTCACTTTTATACAACTATTTATAATACTACTATTATATTATAAGTCGACGGACGACATTGTCACAGTCACTTTTTTGATTATATTTACTTACATATTAATTTAAGATTCACTAAACATACTGTAAAAATGATATTTTAAAATGAAAATAAATATACATACATACAAGTAGCATAATCGTATTAATCCGACCCTGCCTTTCCTTAGTAATTGTTAACTGTTTCTATAAATTTGGAGAAATGGTTTAATGGCATGATCAACTCATCGCCTTTAAATTGTTGTTACTTGTTTACTCTAAATTTATAGAAACGGTAAAGTAGCATGTTTTCTGGACTAATGTATTTTTTGTATAAGGAAAATAAAAAAAGATTATTATTATTTCAACAATCAAGTTGAAAAGAAGTATTTAATTTAAAATACATTACTGGCGCAGTCGGATTTTTTTTTGAAGAACCATGTTTTAAAAATTACAGACATTTCCTCAAAAATATGTTGATCGTTCCTGTTAAAATTTTGCGAAAAATATTTAGTTTCAGTGAACAATATAATATTATTGCGCAAAATAAGAAATACTTAATAATAAAACAAACAAACAAAAAAAAAACAGTTATTTTTTCAAACGAATGCATTATTAATAAAACAACATTGTCAAATTAAAATGGGAAACAATTGTTTAACAATTTATAATTTTTATGAACAAAACTTAAAATAACATCATTTAGTATCGTAAATGAAGTAACAGTTTTTGATAATGAATTAAGGAGTTAAAATCACAAAATTTTCAACTAAAAAGATGGACTCAAAAGAAATTTATTCGGTAATAATGGATAAATAAAATGTGTATCAAAAAACAAAAAAAAAAAATAAGTTAAATTAATAATAATATAAAAAAAGACAGAATAATTACGACACATTGGGTCGCATTTATTCACGTTCAAGTAAACTATAATAACATAAATGCAGCTATAGCATTCATTTTTAATCGACAATTTATTAATTCGAAATAAAATAAACTAGATAAAAGCAACTATCCAGAAGGTCCCTATATGCTGACGATTTGAATTTAGAAACCATGCGCGAAGTATTCAACATTCCAGATGGAATATAATTGACACAACACTTTACGGATGCAGTGCAACACGTTGGTGATATATAGTGAATAATTCTTTACATTATGAAAATATAGTTTAATAATCTGTAATATAGTTAATTAATTAATATAGTAATTCTTAAAATACATAACTTACATACATGCGTATAAATGAAACACAGTCACTGATTCGAGTATGATTCGAGCGTTGAGTACTCATTGCAGGTCTCTGATGTCTACTCAACCCTCTAAGCCCTTAAATAATACTATTACGCCCTCGTTATTTTTTAGCTGTTAGGTGTTAAACTATTTCGATTGTTCTTTTTATTTAATTATCATCTTTTGATACTGGTGTTTCTTCAAACTTGTACTTTAGTTTAATTTATCGTCCCTTTTTCAATAGGTACAACAAATAAATTTTTCTACAGAGCTCTTTCTTTATTATTTCCCACAGTTCGCTTCTAAATAATCAATGGTAACACGAGTACGAGTACAGGAGAAAAATGGTTTTCGAACCCAATATAAACAATATTACAAAAAAAAAAAGACCGGGCGGTAAAAATACACAAATAAAGTCCAAAATTGTCCATTTAGAGTATTATGTGTAAAAGTTACGCATTTACTAATACTTATTAAAACATATTAACAATGCAATCTTATATATATTAAACAAAATTAGTCAAGGCTACAATAGATAAAATAAATTTCAAACACATCTGAAGATGTTGGCAAAACCAAAAAAAAACCCGAATGTCTTGTTTTAAAATGTCTCAAAAAAGAGTAAAATATTAAAATTATATTTATATTTATTAACATTTAAGAAAATGCCAATACCCCCACTTAATAAATAAATCAAGAACATCAATTTGCTTTCAGAGTTAAGCTCAGCACAATTGAATAATTACGTGGAAAAGAATCATTTGCTAGGAGGTCATTTGGAAATAAGCATGTTTTCACCTAGATGTAGAACAAGCCTATAATAAAGTATGGCACGGTGGTTTAATGTATAAAAAATAACACATATACGAGACTATACAAGCTATTACAATTGACATATACTAAAAGTTTACAGTGACGAATATAATTTTTGGCACAGTAACCATATTGAACTTTAATACTGTTTTCACCCCGTTATAAATACAGCGTTTTTGAATCAACAAAAAAAATTTTTGAGATAAAATTCGTAATTTGTAATTAAATTCATTTTATTTCATTATATTATCTTTTATATATAACTTATTAAAATTAGGCTGAACAAAATCATTGGCACACTTTGGTCAAAAACATAGAAATATATGTTCTATGTTTTTGCTTAGGTTCTTAGAATTTAAACATTATTTTATCGATCTGACAAATTTTTTCATGGAAAAGACCTGGTATTTCTACATTATAAATGACGTGGTCGTTTAACTTCTAGGTAAAACCTCAATAATTACTAAAATAATCACTAAACTTAATCTATTTTTAACAAAATCTTAATCAAATCGAAGTAAACTAAACTGAACTCAAAAATATTTTCTATCCAGATCGCAGCTGAAGTTAAGGGAAAATTTGGCAATATTCATCACATAACTGTCAGAAGGATACTGCATGAAACCAATTACAGTTGGTGTGTTGCTAAACGAAATCCGTTTATTTTCAGGTTAACCACTAGAAGCATTTAGCCTATGCAAAGGATTACTTAAGCAAGCTAATCAAATTTTGAAACAATGTAATCTTGAAAGAAAATTTAATATATTTCGATCCAACGTCCCTCAAATGGTTTGGAAAAAACTAAGCACCGAACTGCAAAAAAAAAATAATCCTGCTATGTCTGTGAAACATGGTGTTTGTTTGATTTGGAATTCATTGACGGCATTGTGGAAAAAAAATGTTATATAGCCATACTCAAGAGAAATGTCAAAGAAAGTGACGAAATCTTAAGTTTACTAGTCACATTTAGCTTCCAATATGACAATGATCTGGAATATACGGCTTATGATGTGCGTAACTTGCGCATCATGGAATTAATACACACATTGTCGCATCCGCTCCAATTAAATATAAAAGATAATATAATTAAATAAAATGAAATTTTATAAAGTTCATACAATTTTTATCTAAAAAAATATTGGTTAATTAAAAATCGCATCATTAACGGGGTAAAAACAGTGTTCAAGTTCAATATGCTTGCTGTGCCAATAATTATGTTCCTCACTGTATATATTTTTATATTTCTATTATTTTGATTACTGATATTCAAAGTTATTTTTCAATTATTTTAAAATTTTTCTTAAATATTGATAAGTGTTTATTTTTTTATAGGCTAATTGGTCAAAACTTTTTTATTAGTGTTGTTAAAAATAAAAACAAAAATTAAGAATTCACAATTTGATTTTTTAATCATTTTTTATTTTTCATCGATATTTCGACTTTAGTCTAAAGTCATTATCAGGAAACTAAAACATTATATTCAAATACTAAACAACTTATAATACATAATGGTGGACAAAAGGATAAATGTGTGTGTAAAAATATATATATATATTAATATATATGTAAATATATGTAAGGAAAAGTACAATGTTTTATTATATAATACCAATGTTTAATACTAAGTTATTAATCCTGTACTTGTTTATTGATGTATAATACTTTTATACACATATGGGCACAGTTGTCTACATCAGTTTTAAAATTAAGCCTTATGTCAGGTGGAATTTTTAGAATTGCGAGCATCTTCAAGAAGTACCTTTTACGATGATTATTTTCTTGGTGTAAAATTTTTACATTTTCTAAATCTGGCTCATGGTGTGTAGAAATACAATGTGAAGCAAGGGCTGTTTTGGCTTCCACACCGACTTTATTTTTTATGCTGTGTTTATGTCCAGCCATTCTTGTTTTTAATTTATTTTTGGTCGTTCCAACATATACTTGATCACATACGTCATACCCATCACCTTTGCAATTAATTTGGTATACTACGAAATTCGTTAACACTTCCAAAATACTTCTTGGAGATGCTCGCAATTCTAAAAATTCCACCTGACATAAGGCTTAATTTTAAAACTGATGTTGACAACTGTGCCCAGATGTATAAAAGTATTATACATCAATAAACAAGTACAGGATTAATAACTTAGTATTAAACATTGGTATTATATAATAAAACATTGTACTTTTCCTTACATATATTTACATATATATAAATATATATATATATATTTTTACACACACATTTATCCTTTTGTCTACCATTATGTATTATAAGTTGTTTAGTATTTGAATATAATGTTTTAGTTTCCTGATAATGACTTTAGACTAAAGTCGAAATATCGATGAAAAATAAAAAATGATTAAAAAATCAAATTGTGAATTCTTAATTTTTGTTTTTATTTTTAACAACAATAATAAAAAAGTTTTGACCAATTAGCCTATAAAAAAATAAACAGTTATTAAAATTATTTGGTCATAAAATTATTAACATTTAAATATTGATATGATATCCATTCCTGTTAAAGTTAGACAAACTTTGTTTGTTTTATTTAGTTGGTCTAACTAAAGAAAACAAACAAAAATTCAGACTTATAAATAGTTTTAGTTAAATAAAAATTAGAAGTCAAGTGCCGCTCACTCCTCCCAACACATTAATAAAACCATAATAAGAAGTGAACTACAAATAATTAAATATATTAGCAATTTATTTACCTATAGGTTTATTTAAAGACGAGTTTTGATGCATAAAATTGTTGTGCCATTTTATATTAAGGTTGTGGGAAGTTTGATCGGGTGCAATGGACGCCTGTTGAGATATAAATTGTAGGTTTTCAACGGCATTGTTTGAAGGATGTTGTTGAGAAGGATGATTACTTCCGCCGAGTATCATGCGAGGTGCTGGTTGTTGCAATAATGAATTTTGCTGTTGTTGAGTTTGGTTTTGTTGTTCTGACTGATAAGGTTTGTTGGATACAGTTTGTTGCTGAGGAGTTGAGTTTTCTTTTTCAGCTGTCATTTTTCTTAAAACTGATGTAGGGGTAAATGCCAAAGGTGTCGGTGAATTTGTGTGTACAAAACGCTGCATTATAATTGGATTCGAATTTTCTTGTGACAGCATATTGACACCTAAAATTTAGTAATAGAAATAAATATTTATATTTTTTCAAAAATATTATACATATTTGTATATACTTTGTTTTTATTTACGGTGTGCCCTCGGTTTTTTTTTAAATATTAAATACTTTCATTTGTGACCAAAAATTATTATTATAATAATTTGTTATCGGGCTAATTGGTCAAATTTAAATATAAATAAAAAGACACTAATTTATTATTTATATTTAAAAATCGTTTATACTTTATTTCCGATATTTCGACTATCTTCGATAGTGAATCTTCAGGGAAAACTACACAAAATATTATAATATTTGTATATACGTTAAACTTTATACTTTTAATATAATAAAATTTGAACTTAAACATAATAAATAGTTATTATAATATATAACTTTAAGAAAACCTTATGCATACATGATACAGAGTTTAAATTTAAAGGTGTGTGAAAAGAAAAGTTATCGTTAGGTTTATTAACATGAGAAATTAACCCATTACCTGTCAATGGTGTGAAAACGCACCAATTTTTTTATGTTTAGAAATTCGTTAAAATTTGATTAAAAGGTTTTTGTGGTTACAGTTATTTTTGTACAATAGGACTATGTTTTACCTACATTACATAATTTTTTTGTGCCTGAGTAGTATATATACAATTTAATAGAAGATTTTGCAGATCCTTGTTTGTGTTATTTTAAAATTATAGGACTTTAGCTAATTTTTATGCTTGTGTTATATAAATGGAGAAAATTCGTTTTAATTTTTTACATAAATCTTTATCGCCATAGCGTATTCTAGCGAATCTATAGAAATGACAAGTTAAGTGGTGCACCAATGTCAAAAAACGAGTACCAAAGTTTTTTTCAGGTAAAGAAATTATTGCTTGCAGTAACTAGTCTCAATTAATTTTTTATCATAATAACCATTAAATAATAAACTTGTTGCAACTTATCGCTAAAAATATTCCCATATGAAAATATTTAATGATACGTTACGGTTTTTTTAGGGTATTTCAGCATTATTTTATAATTCTTATGCCGATGCTATTGAAAAAACTAATATGGCTTTAGAAGAATGTGTTGGTTAGTTGCAGTGACAGGCCATTAGGTAACTTTCATGTACCACAATTCGCGATTTTTCATCGTTTTGCTACCACATTCCTCGCAAGAACGTTAGTAGAGAAGAGAAGAGACTAAATCCATCCCGAAGAATTTAGGTAATTTAATAGGTCTGTGGTCTTCACCGATGAACAGTCAATTAATTTTTTGAAGAATCTTTATTTCTTCTACGTACTACGCATGTAACTCTACACAATTGTTAAAACCACTTCACCAATGACATTTTTTATATGAGACTTACTTCCTACTTTGATAAAAATAAAAATGTTTGGCCTAACAATAAAAAACAGGAGTTTGATATTCAGTATTTTTTTATTTTCAAAGTATTAACCTTTTTGATAAAGCATTTGTTATGTCTCATTTTGTTTCATTTAAAATTAACCAATTAGCATTGGCATGGTACTTCTTGTGTATTTGTTTAAATCAGTGGTTCCAATTGAACAGGTATGGGTAAATAGTTCATAGTTTGTGTACTGAGACCTCACTTATTAGAAAATAAACATACAATATCTCCCAGTAATTATATAACTATTTTATAATCTATATAATGTATCTATGCACTTATACAATTCATTATACATTATACCAAAGACGCCCAGAGAACTTGAGGCTCTTCTGCTTTTTTACAGCAAGTTAAACAATTGCAACATTCGGGAAACAGCATTTTTAGATGATCAAAAATACAATATGATTAGTACGCATTTACACGACAACATTAGAATGTATTTAAAAGTACTGACCAATTAATCGACACTTTCAGGAATATAAGGAAAGTGAATCAAAATGTATCTAAAAGCTTATTAGTATTATCATTTTGGCATTAACGTTGGGAAAGTTGCTAATGAAATCCAAGATGAGATAGTTGAATTACAAAATGACAGAAACTGCAAAGAAATATTTGAATCTGTCTCGCTTGAAGAGCTGTGGTGCAAAAATCCAGTTTCATATATTAAAACTCGCGAGATTGCCTTGCGTTATCTGACACTCTTTTCCACAACCTTTTTATGTTAACAAGAATTTTCTGCTTTGTTTTTAATTAAGAATATTAAGGATATTCTGCTAGTAAAGCAAATGTAAGCTCAAATATCACATTGAGGATGTTTCACATTACATTTTAATTTTTATATTTTTATTATTGATGTATATTACTTTAACGAACATGTTGAAGTTTCTAATAAAGCACATTAAAATAATCATACAGTTTATAGATTGTCGTATTTCGCTTTGGTGTTAATAACGGTTAGGCCTTCGTCCTGTAAGCACCTATTTTTATAGACGACCGGATATAGTTTGTTCAACGTATAACTAATGCATTTGACTCTAATAAAACTTTAACTTTAGTTCTCACATCTCTTATATCTGAAGTTTAATTGCAACTTTTAGTCGATGGAGCAATACACAAATTCAACGTGCATAAATTATGAAAATTTAAATTCAATTAGGCACCCTTTACAATCTACCAAAGATAGGTAGATCATGTCCAGTTCGAAATAAACGCAATATTGAAGCAGCGTTGGGAGGAACCCTGATTGTCGCAACACCGGCGCTCACAGGCTTTAAATCTTTCTCTAGCAATAATGAAAAGCATTTTAAGTCACGTTATCATAGAAGCAAGTTTATCATAGATTAAATTAACGAATGGTTCCCCGTTAGGCTCATTTTGAAAGACGGATTTGACGCCGTTTGGCCTTCAAGGAATTACACTTCCATTTGCAAGATATGATTTTTTACAGCTGATTAAATAACATTTGCACAAATCACTATAAATGGTTTTGCCAAAAAAAAAAAATTAAATAAAAAAAAATCGTTTTATAGATTTATTTGAAAAAAAAAACCTTCAACAGATACATGCTTGTTTAGACGTTTGTTTATTTTTATTGTTCACTTTTATTTCTTTTTTTGGTAATACTTTACGCACTCATGTTGTAACGACACTTCCCTCGGGATCATTGCTATGTGCTGGGGTATGCTCAGCCTCACCAAAGTCGTCACAATAAATTTATAAATTGTGACTAAAGTATTCATAGTCGTGATTCGTTTTTAAATTTCTTTTATTTATACTTTATTATTTAGTATAATTATTTCAAATTTTATAATTGAAAAATATATATAAAAACTTGAAGAAAATATTACAATAGAAAATAGAGATGCGTTTCCACGAATTCTCAGTATAAGCTTGTTTGAACGTTTTCGGCAGTTCTTTCTTCAACCTCCGGTGTTTATGATGAATCTGAGAGAATTTGGTTTAAGATATATTGTTTGTAGAGTGTATTTCATGTGCTATAGGAATTTATTTCAGACCTAGTCGACGTGAGACCACCTATCGTATCCTGGTGATTCGATATAACTTTTCCTTTGATCAAATATTTCCTCTATCGAAAGTATCCTTGTATATTAAAAGGAATTACTTCCGACACAGTCTTCGTGAGACCACATGTCATGTCTTGATAATTCAATGAAATTTTTCCTTTGTTAGAAGATTTCTACTATAGAAAATATCCTTTTGTATTTTAAAAGGAGTTACTTCAGACACGATCGACGTGAGACCACATGGCGTGTCTTGATAAATCAGTGTAATTATTTCTTTGTTTGAATACTTCTGCTAAAGTATTCTTTCGTTTGGATATTCCTTACTAGGGAATTAATCCCTTGTATTTAATAATTCGTTATATAGAATTATTTCGTAGCGATTTTGCCTTTGTCTTAAATATCCAATCGACCGAGCTTTTGTGTAGCGTATCATTTGTTGTCTACAGCTATTCTTGTGCTACTCTTGTTTATTTATTATTTTTATAATTAATATCAAACTCTTTTTGTCTTTCACTTAAACATGGTGCGGTTAAACAGACTAGTCCTTTCTATAAACAGACTAGCTGAACTTACAGATCTCACGCACCAACGCTTCAGAAACAACACACCCAGCTGGTGTTTTAAATTTTATCTTATATATTTATATATTTATATTTTTATGTATAAAATTTTTGTAAATTATTATAAAAAGGGGCAAAAATGGTATGATGGGATTATTTTTATGGATTATAAATTAATTATTTAATTTATATATTTATATTATAATTGCAGATATCTGCAATTATCTGCAGATATATTGCGAGTGCATGCTGGAATTAGTTTCATGCGTACTGGACTTTGGTAAATAGTTTATAATAAATATGATAAATATTTATTAAATTAACTTTATTTCAGATATGTTCAATATTTGTTACCAGTAAGTGCTATATTATGTGATTCGGATGATAGCAGTTGTGATGCTTGTAAAAATCGGAAAAAAAATGTTTTGTGATATTTTTTTTAGTTGTTTGTAGTTCAGTTCATGTCGTACAAAAGTGTTGTTTCTAGTGTACATTTATGTAGCAGAGTTTGTAAGTTTCCGTCCTTACAATGTTATGGTTGTTTTTACCAGTGCAGGCCACTTGCAAACAAATTTTAATAAAGGCGCTATCACACAGCTTGGAATAAATTTAAAAACATGTGCAATGCAACGTTTGCAAATATTGAAAACAGCAAAAAATCTTAATTTATAATTTAATGTACTATTATAATTGTTGTATAATTCAAATTCTGTGTTTTTTAATAACGCAACATTACAGGTAAAATAAGACCAGCTGCTAATTTAAAATGAAGGAATAAATATTTCCTTATATTTTATAAATACAGCAATCTTTTAAAAAACGATGGATATACTAGTCAAACAATGACGGACTGTCAAAAAATATGCAGTATATTGTCTGTTGCATGGTAAATTATATAGCTAACTATAACACATCACTCAATAAGTCGTGCGACTGACACACAGATAGCGCTGCCATTGTCAAATCCATATGTCATGTGTGAAGTACCAACCTTCAAAGGACTATGTGTAACATTTCATGACATTTTGATTAATCAGAAAAAAAATAATAGCTATTTAAGTGAAGCTACTTTTGTTATTTTCAAAATAATGGATTCAAAACAATTTCGAAAATACCGTACAAGCTCAGCAATGGCTTCAAAAGTGTTATCCGGACTCTGCTCCATCGAAAAGAACCATTTGTTATTGGTTTGCTGAATTTAAACGTGATCGTACAGACACCGATGATGGTGAACGTTGTGGTCGTCCAACTAAGGTGGTTACCCCAGAAAACATCAAAAAATCCAGAAATTGGTTATAACTGATCGTAAATTGAAATTGCGTGAGATAGCTGAGACCGTAAAGATGTCAGAAGGCAGTGTGTTTACAATTATGCATGAACATTTGACCATGAGAAAGCACTTTTTAAAGTGGGTGCTGCGTTTACACACAGTCGATCGGGTTGATGATTCAGAGCAGCGTTTGGCTATGTTTACACGTAATAAATGAGATTTTTTGCATCGATATCTGACAATGGATGAAACATGGATCTATCACTTCACTCCGGAATTAAAACGATCATCATCTGAGTGAACTGCAGCCAATGAACGACGTTCGAAGCGTCCAAAGGCACAGCAGTCAGCTGGGAAGGTTATGGATTTAGTATTTTGGGATGCACATGGTATAATCTTCATTGGCTATCTCGAAAACGAAAAACCCATCAATAGTAACTACTACAGGGCATTACTAGTTGCCTGCAGAACATGCCAAAAAGGTATTTGCACTTGGACTCCTTAAGATGGGATGGGTCTGATGTCGAAAGGAGATTCTATGACCAAATTCGCTTGTACAGTAACAGATTAGACGAATATCAGCAGACGGTGCGGTAAGAAAAACCACTAGGCTGTAAACTGTAAGAACACTGAAAAATGGGTTAAGCAAAAGAATGCATGCAACTGGTAGCGCAAATGTGCCGACATATAATGGACGCATTATAAAAGGTTGTCGAACGCAAATTGAACGCCTGCAGCAATATCTCGCAGGTGTCACTGACCCTTCTGATAAACAATATGGTTTCCGGCGCACTACATCAATGGTCGATGGGATTTGAACAGTTACAAAGGACAGTATGAACGGAGAACACACTAGAATGAAATACTGAGCAGTCATCACGCTGAACAAAAAAAATGTTTTTAAATCAGCGAACTGGTCTAAGATACTGCTTGTGTTAACCCTTTGGGGCAACACTCCATTAAAGTTGCCAGGTTTCTCCGGTTGGATCCAAGCCAACGTTCAATTTCAGCGCACCCACCCAATCCTCGCCATCCTCTTCATCACTCCATCTCCCCTAACCACTACCGACCTACTTCGTTTCGTGGTATTTGCTCACAGGTCTGGTCGGGTTATAATAACAACAAGATACTGCTTTGAATATCGGATATTGCAACATGACACAGAAAGAAGAAAACAATATAAGGTGATTGGCGGGGTTTCACAAGGATCAGTTCTGGAATCTACACTGTCGAATGTTATGTCCAATGGAGTCCTGAAAATAAAATTTCAGGATATGCGGATGATATTGTGCTAGTAGCGGTAATAAAGGCTTCGCCACCTGGAAGCAAAAAGTAACGATGCAGAAGCAAGTACATAACGATGGCTTAAAAATGCAAGACTGAGTGCAAGAAAAAAAAAAGAAGATAAAACTTATAATTAGCGGGCATAAAATACTGCTAAGCAAAAAAAGGGCTGATAGCACAGTTATACAGATGCAGTGCCCTGCGTTTACAGAGCAATATCCACTGATGCACTCATATTTACTTACAATATGACAGCAAAGATGGAAGCAGTTCTCCAAGAGACGATGGATCTGTGCTCATATTCCCAACATTAAACAATAGGTGAGGAGAAAACATTGTAAAGTGAATTTCAATTTGATATCAATATTAAGCGAACATGGAACCTTCTTAAAATATCTTCACCGATTTTAGCTGGCTTATAGTCCCTATTGTCCAAACTGTCATAACGTTCTTGAAAGCGCAACATATTCAGTTTTTCGTTGTGATCGCTTCAAAAAAGGAACGTGAATTCGTGGAGGTTCTAGGTTACCTACCATCTCCTCCTGTATTCAAATGGAATACAGATAAAACATTCGCAACTTAAATGATGTGGCGTCTTACACATTTCGAAGAGGAGTGGTGAGCTCTATCACAACTCGCAGAACAGCTACAGTGACACAACTGCAACGACAAATTAAAAGAGGCTGAAAAATATACTTCATTGAAGAAATGACGACAAAACAAAAAACAGACTTGAGTATCGTGCTCTAGAGAATATCAAATGGGTGCTCCTGACAGGAGAAACTGCCGGACATTGAGGTGATTTTAGTGCGTTGGAGTCCCTCACTGAATTGGGCCTTCGATTGCTTTAAACGTCGTTAAAAAAAAGGATTAATTTATTCGACAAATTAAAATCACTAGAAATTATTTAAAAAGAATCAATTTTAATTTCTTAATACGTGACGAAAAATTGTATATATATAATAAAAACATGTATGTATATAAAATTTAAAATATAAAATCAAAATGAATGTTTGATTTCTTAATATGTTAATGTAGTTAATATGTGTATGTAGGTAATTTGTAAATGTTGCCTAAATTTTTCTTGAAATATTTTAATATTTGTTTAAAACCACATAGAGCAATACACCTACACTTTTTATATCCTTATGATATGTAGTTTTAAATTTTATTTTACCTTGATGTAATTGACTAGGCTCAATTTGGTTTTGTTTTTGCAGATGATCGATGAATCCAGAAGCAATTTGTGGAGATATTAAAGCAATTAAATTTTGATCGGGATGTACATAGTTTTTTGGTACTGTTAACTGTTGTTGTGCAGCTAAGGGAAGCGTCAAACGAGTTTGTTGTGGATCTACTTGCATAACTTGATTATTTCCAATTTTTTTACTTTCATTAGATTTCGAAGTGTCAGACAAATTTAAAGAAACTGAGGCATTATGTTGTGATTCATTAGAAGAAAGTTCAATATGATTGGATTTGTCTACAAAGTTTGATAATGGCTGCAATTTTCTACCAGCACTCAGTTGCTCTAGCAATTTTTTAAATGCTTCAACTTCATGAGTAGGAGGTTGGTTTATTTGTGTAGTTTGCAAATCTTTCCGTAATTGTTTTTTTGGTGACTCAGCAATTTCTTTGCTACTTCTATATTCATTATTTAAAAATTTTGTATGACGCATTCTTGCTTCAAGTTCTTCAACGCTTGGTATAGCAACGACTGTAAAAATGTTGTATTGATAAAATTTAAATTAATCAGTTAACTATTATAAATATATGCTTACCGCTTGGTTGAGCAGCATCAAGTTTTCCATTCATTGGGAGCTTACTATTTTGAAAGAATTCCATTAACATATTTTTTTCACTACTTTTTTCTTCACTTTTTGGTTCCGTAAAGTTAACTGCAAAAAGTACATAAAGTTTAACATTATAACTCAAGAAAAACTTCAAGTAAAAATACTTTGATTTCTTTAGTAAAAAAATCTTATATAAATAATCTAATTTTGCAAATAATTTATAAAAAAGATGGCTAGATCAATTAAGTTAAATAATTCTTCAGTTGTTGGTAGAAGAATTTTGAAAAAATAAAATAACAGCTATTTCTATAGTTGAAAGGTAAAATTAAAATTAAACTACATTAAATACATTCTTTTATGTAGAAATCCTGAAATTTTGATCCTAGAACTAACAATAAACACTGTATGTAAGGAGGGAAAGGTTATGGGTTTTGCATATGTTCCGAGACACAGAGTATATATAACACCTTTACTTTTTTCCATAAGAAATGAATAAGAATTCACTTTGCTGACAATGTTGTTTTACTGTCAAACCATCACAGCGATATGCAATATCAACTTACTTTGTTAGAAATCGAGGCCAAGAAAGTTGGCTCAGTAATAAACTGCGAAAAGACGAAATCAATGAGATTAAATTCAAAAAGTAGCACAGAACTGCGCAGTAGCAGCATCGATATTGCAGATGTGGCCAGGTTTGAACACCTCGGCAGCCGAATCTCTGAAGATGGTAGAACATCGGCAGACGTCGACTGTAGGTTACGCAAGGTGCGCTCCGCGTTCGGCAGACTCAAATCGATCTGGACGTCTAGTCTACAATCATTACGCGGCAAACAAAATTAAAATTATTTAATGCGTGTATTAAATCAACCTTGATATACGGTTGTGAGACCTGGCACACTTCTTGGACTATCATAATCAAGCTGCAATCCTTCATCAACAGAAGCCTATGACATATTTTAAAAATCTGGTGGCCACGAACTATTCGCAACGACAACTGTGGCGAATCTGTCATCAAGAAAGCATTAAAAAGGAAATCAACAAGCGCAAATATGGATGGACTGACCATACGTTCAGGAAGAGTTCAAACGAAATACCCCACGCAGCGTTAGAGTGGAACCCACAGGGCCGGCGAGGAAGAGGTAGACCGAAAAATAATTGGCACAGAACTGTCACAAGCGAAACAATGAAATTTTTTAGCGAGCTTAGAGCAATAGCTCGGCAGTGCAATAACTGGAAAGCATTTATAAATTCTATAATATAAATTTGATGTACATAAAAGGATCTTTATAATTAGACTAAATTTATAATTTTGTTAATACATATTATATAATAATAATAATATACAATAATAATTGTTTTAGCATACAACTATTTATTTTTGTGTACCAGATTTAACAAAAAAAAAAAAAAAATTATATATTAAAATGAAATAAAAATATATATTTCCACCTAAAACAATCCCTATTTTAATGCACAAGAAATATTAAAAAACATAAACAAAACACATGCATTTACAATGCTAACCACAACAACACATACCAAAAGCATAAAACTAAACACAAAATTTCATACAGCACTCACACGAGTCATCGAGTCATTCATACTCCTCTGAGTATATGCTATGTTTCATGAATCATACGTATTATTATGAAGCTGATTCATTAGCACCAGCATTCGTTAACGAAAATACTTATGAATAATTTCTGTGGCGAATGTGAATGCGTATAAGTAATGTGCGAGAAAAACATTTATACGCATTTAGATTTGGTTTTTAACGAGTTCACTCTGAATGTTAAAATGATGACTCGTTGCAGTTCTCTGGTAGACATGTATGAAAAAATTATAAATCAGAAGGGGTTCATTTATGACATGCAATTGCAAACGATACCTTTTAAGGTACGAACATTTGTAAAATGCCCATCAACTTTTACTGGTGATCCGCAATATGTACACGAATATACAAAGGATGTCTTGACATATTTGCGTTTATACGGACGTCCTGATTTTTCATAAGTTTATTTTGTAACCCAGCATGGGACGAGATAAAATAACTTTTTTTGTTCGATTAATATTAAAGCGCTCTTATGTAGAGAACAACAATTACTTTTACAAAGTAGTGTCAAATAAAAGGAGTTATTTGGTCTTTTTCTGATCGCTTATTACATCATATCTGCTCACAAAAGAGAAAGCTCTTGCATTCAATGGCCCACAAGCAATCGCTTGAAGTGCTTAGTCGAATTCTTAAATATCTAAAATCAATTGCGCAACCATTCGATGGTGTTATTCCATTAGCGTACGATTTTCAATATTTTCAGCAGTAAAACCAAAATCAATGATGAACGATTTATTAGTAGCATCTATTTATCCTGTCACCAAACGTGTTTTACTTCCAGTAGAAATTTGTTATGGATGAAAATCCATTAATCAATTAGTTTAAAAAATTTTCCACAATATATCACGAATTACAAAAGTTATTGAGGGTTGTTAACACAAGCGAATTCATTTCAAATAATCCTTTCAAGTAATAATTTCCCATTATCTAGCTCGGTTTAATGTTGGTTTGCACAAAATTATAAAAATAATCAGTGGAAAATTCTAGTTATGACCTGATAACACACAGTAATAAAATTGGTACCACTAGTATTTACAGAAAAACGGACCATAAAACGTATGGATAAGTATTGAGTGTTTTATGACCCGGTTAAATGTTCGTAAGTAAAGTTAAGTATTAAGTTAGGTTTTATGATCTTATTATACTGTGTAAAGATACAAGGGAGCCAAAAAATTAACACAGTTTGAAAGAGTTGGAACTCTCAGTGCTGACAGGTTTATGGAAAAGAACAGGAAACAAATTAAGGAGATACTTATGAATAATAACTACCCTAAGTATTTTATAAATAAAATGTTTCAATCATATAAATACACAACAACGTCAAAAAATACGGTAGACAATGTCACTAAAAATAAACCTAGATATAAATTCCCCAACATACCTGGACTGTCTCAAAAAATTTCAAAACTTTTCAAACAAGAGGAAATATTTAATATTGTACTTGTACAACTTGAGAACAACAAATAATTTATTCTCAAAGATTAAGGACAAAGAAAAGAAAGGACAAATCTTATATGTAAGATTAATTGCAATGATTGTAATAGAGCTTATATAGGAACAACTAAACAATGATTGGCAAAAAGAGATGTTGAACACAAAAGTATATCTAAACGTAAAGATCATTTGAAAAAAACAGCTCTCTCTGAACATTTCCATTCTAATAGACATAATTTCAACTTTGATGAAGTAATAATTCTGAAAATCGAAAATAATTATCAAAAAAGGTTAATGAGTGAAGTTATTCACATCATATTAAATAATGAACAGGTGGTAAATTACAAGAGAGATAAGGATAATTTTAGCAGACTTTACTCAAATTTACTGGATAAATATCAGTTGATCAAAAATAAGAGATAAAAGCAAATGAAAGTTTGCGGTTTTTTAGTTTATATTTATTAAGAAATATGAAGGAAAAAAGAGAATTTTAATTTTCTATTTTAAGTGGTTAATTTAATTTATATTATTAATGACTATGGTTGAACAACATATTAATGCATTTTAAAGAATAAGGTATTTAAAAAGATTGAAAAAAAAAAACGAGAGGCCTATTTTTGAATTCCCGCGCTTATCCAATCGGTAATTTTTTTTATTTTCACGCTGGCAACACTATTATACATATTCTGTCAAAATTTTAACGCATATCGTACGATTAGTTTTTGTTTGGCGTCTATATAAAAAGTCGAAAAATTTTCGTGTGGCGAAATGAAACGATAATAAAAAATCATGAATCCAAAGACGAAATTTATTTCCAATCTAACTTGCATCAAATGGTAGAAGAATTTGTTAAATGTCATAATTTTAAAGAAACTAGCAGCTGAGGCAGGAACACCTGAGACCAAGCATGTAGTGAAGCCAAATGCTATAACATCAATTAAAATAATCAATGAAATTATCAATGAAATGATAAAAAAAGAAAAATTCACAGGAAGTAGAAAAAGAAGTAATAATATTTGAATTTATGACTGCAACTCGCAAGCTTAGAAAAAATTTTATAAATGTTAGAAAGAGACACAAAATATCAACACAAAATACGAGCTGATAAGCTGTAATAAGAAAAAAGTGATATTGAAGAAGGGTATAGAAAAGTCGAAATAGAACTACTGAAAAAAGTACAGATGCTAAGTGGGGTTAAGAAAACAATGAAATAGCGGACATCAAAATTCCCTTGTTGAATGGGATTATTGAAGAACGGCCATTATTTCTGGCTTATATGAAAAAATGTTATACGAAAACAGCGAAATACCGAAACTGGAAAACATGTACCATTTAAAATCACTCCTTAGAGATGATGCTCTTGCAACAATTCTGCAACAAGCGAATTTTGTTTTCAGTCCCTGATTGACAAGATATTGGATCAGCCGCAGATAAATAGTAGTATGGCATCTAGTGTGAGAGTATTATTGAATATTACGAATGAAAACATGCAAGCATTGCCAGCTTTGAATATTGGGATTGAAGTATTGCCTGTCTGTATTGTAAGAAAGGAGGACATGCAACCGAAAATTGCCGAAATTTCTTAGCTCTTTCGCTAAGTCGTCAAAAATTTGTTTTAAATGTTTGAAACACCTGTTTCTGAATAAAACAATTTGTGAATATTGGAAATTTTGTATTAAATATGGACGAGCACATCATTAAACGCTGCACAAAGACTCGTAATACTAAAAGCATAAATTGATCAAGACTCCCAGACAATATGCATTATGCATTGAAAAAGTATTAATGGGAATTGCGAAATCAAGTATAAAGCAGAAAGTTTGGTGTTACCAGCATTAGCATCAGTTCACCAGTACAAAAGATGGAAGGGCGAGAAAAAGAAATGGTAGAAATACAATCTTGTAGATCTCAACTTAAATAAATCAGAGAGAATCGGCATGGCATGGTGATTAGCGATAATTTATAAGTGGATATTATGCAAAGCGGAATATGTAAAAAGAATGTCAGGCTTGATCAACATACTAAACTAGGATTAATTATCTACGGACCTCTTCATGAA